CCTTGAGGTTTTGTTGAAAAAGTTCATATCTGAATTAGAAAATTTGAACCCCCGAGAATTATAATTTGTTTGGTTCGGTTTGACATGGCCAAGAAATATAACTTTAGTATTAGATTAACTATGTAGTAAATACTCCTCCAGTCTTAAATATAAGACCCATTTTGTAGTGTAATTTACACTTTAACATGAGTCTTATTTAGGACTGGAGGAGTATAATTTACATGTGTGCAAATGTATTTGTCAAGTAAAATTTTGGGTTTGATCTTTATGTCAACTAACTACTCCCTCTAATCCTAAATGTAAAAGTTAACAGATGAATTTGTTTTTTATCATAATATAAAATTTCATTCCACTTTATTTTTTAAAATTTATAATTTTTTAATAAACTTAATTCCTTGTTGATTGCATAAATCCAGGAGGTTTTTCATCAATGAAGTAGTTTCCCAATACGAATAATTGAAAAGAAACTACTTTAAGAAAACCAACTCATATATATTATAAATAACTAACCTAGTCATTTTTTTCATTTTCTAAATTAATTATCTAGCTTTTATATTTAGGATCCAAATGAGTAATAATTTAAAGATAAAATGATAGAAGTACATACTTTTGAGCATAGGATTTCCGAAAAGGTTTCATTAGAGATAACTAAAAAAAAAACTAACCTTCACAACTATTTATCTTCTCTACTCAATTGATAAGTTCAGGATGTCTAAGCAAACCAAAAAAAAAAAAATTTCTAACTGAGAAAATTGAACTGGGTGTAGATTCGTGTTTGAATCCTCCGAGATTACAAACTGAAGGCCAAATCTTCAAGCAACTGGTGGAGCAACCAACTCGGGTGGAGGCCATATTAGCACTAATATGGAAATGTGCTACAATGGCATCAAGAACGAACCTAGGAATAACCAAAAGACCCTCCAAGGTAGGCCAAGTAATAAATATTCGTAAAAGGACAAACCCACCTTTGCCTGAGACCTCTCTGGGAAATTGCTTGAGTAACTTCGTAGCAGAGATGGAAGAGAGCAGGGTAGTACAGATATGGACTTACAGACATTGGTGGTTCACTTAAGGAAAGCTCTTGAACTATTTTCAAAGGAACGTGCTCCAAAACTTGAAGATAAAAATAATGCTTCCTCAATATTAAGTGAGGGATTGAAGGATATAGATTTGGCATACAAAGAGGACATAGATTTCTATATGTGCACGAGTTGGTGTCATTTTGAGTTTTATGAAGCAGATTTTGGGTGGGGAAAGCCCAAGTGGGCGAGTATTCCTTCTTTGAAGATAAACAATTCTATTATTCTAATGGATACGAGTGATGGAAAAGGAATAGAAGGATGGGTAACTTTGACTGAACAAGATATGAAGTTGATGGAGAGTAACCATGAATTGCTCGAATTTGCGTCTTTGAACCCAACTATCATATAGAAAAAGTAACATACATTTTTACTCATCTAATTTTACATGAAGTTTCATTGATCCATTTATTATATACTGTATCTTTCCAGTCTTTTAATCATAATATTATTAGTCTCAAATGATAATTTTTTTGTGCTAATCATTATCTCATTAGAAAATTAAACTTAATGTTATAGCATTTGAGAATATTTTGTCGACATTTAAACTTTCAATGTCATAATTTGTTTTGTTAATAATGTTGGTCAACATATTTCTCGATATTATTCAATATTAATAAACTAAGCAAACAATGTATAGTTAGAGACTAGTGATATAAACGTAACTACAAGACCTTGCATAAGAAACTATACTTCTAATTTTTCCATCGCAAACGTTAACAAAGGAAAAACTAAATTCAATTTAATAAAAATATTAGTAGAGGATTTGGTACACTTCCTATAAAGTGCGCAAGGCCTTTTAGTTAATCCATGCAAAAGCCATATATACTCATAGTCATTTCTTTTCTCGTCTTATTTATCCGGGTCTTCTAATTTGTTTTTAAAAAAACAATAAATCAACTAAATGACTACAATAAAGTAAATTAATGGCCAAAGACCAAAACTATACCAAATTAGCAATAACAGTAAGCAATATGTCCCTTTTTATCGTCTTTTTTATGTAAATATTTATTAATCTATAGCCATAGTTATTAATCTCTTCGGTATAGCCACATAGGTACTTCACTTTCCTTAAAATAAAAAAAAAGGCAACCCCCCCCCCCCCCGGGGGGTCGGTTTTTTGAGGATTTTTTTTGGGGGCGGGGGGGGGGGGGGGGAGAAACCCCACGCCAATGTTCGGGTACCAAGCACTGCATTGCTGAAGTAACATAGAACGCTTTGATATTAAGATTATAAGTAAGAAAAACACTAACACAACTACAAAAAATTGTAACTAGTATGCTAATCTATCTTTAAAACTAATTTAAAAAAGCAGTTGTAATTTTGTAATTAATTTAAAAAGTTACTAGCCAATCTATATCGATTTCAAGTCTAACTAACGTGGACCGTCATAGGATATTCTACCGTGATTAGCTTAAAATATAATGTAGAAAGATTATTTTGAATTTAAAAAAATGAAGGTAAATTTATTTAGGCTCTTTACGCCCAGCGTTAAATAGTAATCAACATAAACAAGCCTTCAAAAATTTCTAAATAACGCCAACTTTTCACTTCGTGCCTCCTCATCACTTCATTTGCTCAGATAAAGACATGTTCACACTAACGATTCTTGTCACCACACTAATTAGAAATAAATTTTGTTGCTAAAATTAGCAACAAAATTTAATGACGAAAAAATTTTATTACTAAATTAGCGATAGATTAGTGATATAACTTTATTCTATTACTAAATTCTATTACTTCCGTTACTAATTTTCGGGACTAGTCCATCACTAACTCCCAACACAAAATATTTTGTGACAAAATCAGTGACGGAGAAATTCTATCACTCATTTTTGTTGCTCTTTCATCACTAATCCATTACAAAAAAAATGACAATATAAAAATAGAACAATTATTTTTTAATATTTATTATTAAAATAAAATGTGATATGTAATAATTTTTCAAAAACATGTTATATAAATAAAAAATATAATATACTTATTGTTTTATTAAATATTAGAATAAAAATATTAATAATTAGTTATACTTTAATAACATACAAAAAAATAAATTGAAATAAATAATTAATACATTGACTTATGTAATATTATTATATACATTTGTATTTGTCATCAGAAATATTATATATTTATTTATTTTTGCATAAAAATTTGTAGGTGTTTTACAACTCAATTGGCAAAAGTGCCTTCAAAATGCATGCAAGATGTCTTGGGTTCAAATCACCACTCCTTCACAAAATTTGCTTAATTTGTGACGTGGCGATGACATGGACAAATGATGATGTAGCAGCTCATAATAATGGATATGTGGCGATGACGTGGACGAGAAAATGACATGGCGGAATGGGAGAGAGAGGAGGTGGCAAGGTGGCAGTTGGTGATGAGGTGGTGATTGTCACATGGTATTTTAAATTTACATAACAAAAAAATTTAGCAAACAATGAGTGACGAAAATTCCATCACTAATTTGCGACAGAATTTTCATTACAAATCCGTCATTATTTTGTGAAAGAATTTTTTTCAGATATCTATCACTAATTGGTAACGAATTACTGACAAAAAATTTCCATCGCCAATTTTCATCACTAATCCGTTAGTAATCTGTCACCAATTAATTTTGAATTCTATCACTAAATAATTAGTGACAGTGAAATTAGCGACCAAAAAAATTCCATTGCTAATTAAATTTTGTCATTATTTTTGATTAGTGACAGAAATTTTGTCACTCAATTTCATCACTAATTTACTCTTTGTTGGTAATGTCTACTTGCTTTAATCTTGTTCTTTACTCCAATCTTGCCCTTTATGGCATATTGTTGAAATACCATCTTAAATATTGAAAAACTGATTCTGATTCTGCATGGACATTTTATTTTTAAATTTTTAATTATTGATTGTGATATGAAATATTGAAAATTTGATGATTTTGATGACTGTTGCAAATTGGTTTCATCATAAGATGAGTATTAAAAATGCCAATTAGTAAATGTTGTTGGATTGCATTTTAGTTTAATTCTTGGGAGGCACCATTTACTACGTAAAAGACACGAAAATTATTGCATAAACTTTAAAGTATCCTACTTATATAATTAAATCAAAAATTGATCTTCATAAAAACATCATTGACGAAGAACGCCTTATTTAAAGAAACGATATGTACATATAGAAAAAAAAAAATTTACTCCTAAATTATGGGGTTTGGATGAGCTTTTTCAAAGTAATTTTATAGATTTCTAGGTAAGTATGTGGAAAGAGTTTTGACTCGATTTAAGTGCTTACATGGTATGCCAAACACCCCTTAAATATGACATTAATCAAGACTTTTCACTAAGCTTATTAATTCTCCTTTCTTTTTTCTTTTTTGTTATGCACAAATATCCTCCTATTTAATGCAATCCTGATTGACGTACCGTCAGATATTAAATTTGGACACATCTCCCATCAGGGATATGAATCTCAGTTCACTATGTTATAGGAGAATAACCTATTCTACTAAACTCAATGACCATTGATAGTTTAAATCTTAAATATGTGAATTATCATTCCCTGTGCCTGAAGTTTCTTGCAAGAAATCTTGAATTTGGGCTTCCTACTTAGACTACACCTATGGAACAATTTTGCGAGCATCACATTCTCAACCCGTCAGCTCATTACAGCATGAAGTTCGGCCCAATCAATGAAGACTCAGGCCCAAGTTTCTCCTTCCATGTGTTCATAATTGCCGTGGGCCTGTAATCCATTGAAATATAGTCCAATTAGATTCTTTTAAGATAAAACGCCTCCCTCTTGCCATTGGACTCCCTTGTGCTAAATCCACCTCTTGGGTTGGGCATTTTTAAGTCCTTCTCGGCCTTTTAGGTTTGCACCATAATCAAATACTATTTCCGGAATTTATAGTTTACAAACAAGATCTTATAATTAAAATTAGAGGTAATGATATTTAAATGTCTTCGAACAACATTAATTATAATTAAGGACAACAAATTTTGGTAATTAGAAGGAAACGATATCCTTGATTGAAATTAAAAAATTTTGAGCCGATAAAAATGCCCTCCACTGGACGTTTTCATCACTGATTTTTCCCTTTTTTTCACACAAAGAATACAATTTAGATGGAATAATAATTCTTGATGGTTAAAACACAAGTTTAAAGTTGAGAATATTAATAAAAAAATTTTAGTATAACAATGATATTATTTTTATAATTCATCTGATAATAACAAGTTTGAATGTAAAATGACTAAAGTAGAGATTAATAACATGTTACACATTAACATTGTTATCAATATATAACTATTAACGACTGTCAAATGGTAACAATGTTGTTATAGCTATTAACAAAATACTAGCATTGCCACAACGCCATCTAATTTTCACATCATCATATGAACATAGTATCAATATCAACACTTACATTGGAAATACCAATATTCTTATGACCAATAACCAAAACTAGCATGGCCATGACAACAAATATTTTTGCAATACAAACAAAATATTCTTCATTGCTAGTATAACAACTCTCAACAAAATATTCTTCTTCATCACTATTATCCTTACCTTCATAATAATACTCTTCACTATCATTTGCAAAAACAAAATCTACTAAAATTTATGTTTTGATTATGATAAATTCATTTTCTAGATTTATAATTTCTGGCAAAACCAAAACTATGGTGTAGGAATCTTCGTTGATTAGTTTTTCCTATTATGTATTTGAGAATTAATCTTCTCGAATATATATTTGAGAAGTTTTCTATGTTTTGTTAAACTTTTTTTTTTTGAATAGCTTTCTCTAATACATGGCCGAGAATTGGACTTTTTGAATACGTATTCAAGAAACTTGCTTCATTTTACAACATCTTATCAGAAGAACTCACAAATCCTTAAATAGTTTTCTCAAATATATATTCAAGAATTGGTTTTCTCAAATATATATTCAAGAATTGGTTTTGTCGAATGCATATTCAAAAATTAGTATTTTCAAATACATATTCAAGAAGCTTTCTATTTTTTGTTAAACTACTCTGAACAATTTTCTTAAATACATATTCAAGAAACTCTTTCTATCAACTAAAGATTTCTTACCAAAACATCCATATAATGTGTTTACAAGGACTTTATAGAAAATATGCTCAAGAATTTAAATTTAAAGTTTTGGGGACAAAAGAACTTTCTCAATAATACATTCAAGAAAATAACATTTCCTAAATATCTCATCCCATAAAATTTCTCAAATACATCTTTAAGAAAGCTATCTCTCGAAGAACATATCAAATATTCTCTAACCTTTTTGAAGATGAACTTATTTAATTTCATTTTACTTCTCATTTACAATTGTTATATAAC